CGCGGAGGCAGGCGTAAGAGGGGAGTCCGTCCGAGCAGATCAGCCGTCAACGTCTTCAAATGCAAAGCTTGCACGGAAGAGAGAAGCCGAGAGGGCAGAGAAAACCGAAAAGGGCGTGGCGTTACATGTGGAACAACTCCATTCGCTATTGGTCAGCGGGCGTGTCTTTGACCGTCTTTCTTCGTCAACTGGTCAATGCAGAAAATATCGCTTTTTTTCTTACAATTTATTTTCTTCGATGATTTTTTTTAATTTAAATCGAAAATTAGCTGAGATTTTATTTTTCACAAAAAAAATAATTATTATTCTTCCCGTATTCCACTTTTATAATTATTTTTAATTAAAGCAATCAAACAGGACTAAATAAAAACATATTTCCAAGGGAATTATTTCGATATATGCTTTGAAACAATATCGACAAGGTTCCAATGAGACCAAATTATTAGATATATTAAATGATCCACCCTTTCATTTTTTTACATCTTAATCAATCATTTATGACGACTCCTCCCTGTGCTCACCATAACAATTTACTGCTAACAATGCCATTCCTGGGAAGAAGATATTACAAATGATGGCAGAGACTAATCTTGAAAGATCATATTTTACTTGAAAATTAGGGATTTAACCTTTTATTTTCGTATCCATCCTCTGTTGCAGAGAATACATGTAAACAAGAAAACCAAAGTTTATCTACTGATCTCTCTTGACAACTACCAAGAATCTCAATTTAAACTGAGAATCCAATCTTCAGAAACTAATAGATACTGTTTTCACAAAAAGATGGTGTGTTAGGCACTTGATCCTGTCAGGTATTGACACATAGGTAGACTGTTATTTATCATATGAAAAAACCTACAGCAACTGGAAAGCATAAAGCTTGTAGGATTCAGCTACTTAATGAATGGAAAGCAGACAAAAAAGAACATACCAAGGTTGCAAAGAAGTTTGGCAGATGTGGAGATGGAACGAAGAACTCTTGCATCATTTATGATAACCACAAACTTGCACACTAGAGTAGAATCAAAGAACCAAGATGACCCCTTCCTCGGTTTTCTTATCTCATGCATTTTCTGTGCTTCAGTAGGTGGTCAAGCACCTGGACATTCCTTGCTCAAAAGGATCATACCAATATACTTTTATGTCAAGCCCCAGCTTATTGAAGTAACAAGATATTTTTCATGAATGCCTAAAAAATTATCATGGTCGAAAAAGATGTCTTCTTAGGTCTGAGACTGGATTTGTAGCATCCTACATCTTAATATAAGCTCAAAGAGAGAAATCATCAAGGTTATCCATGATTTTTCTTGATATGAACATGTATGCCAAGCGTTATAGCACATCTAACTACAAGTAACAAAAGCAACAAACAGTATGTACCTTGAATCTTTATTATTCAATTCTATTGTTTACAGTGCTATATTGAATCCTTGAATTAACTATTACTGTTTCCAGTAAGCCCCCGAGATGAAATTGATAGACATGCACCCCTCAGAAAGGAGTGCTACAGCACCTCGGTCAACTCCCAGTGGCAACATCCTATAAATCCTATAAAGCATTTTTTTTTTCTAAAGAGACAAGGGATCCTATCGTGTATTCAGCACCCAACTTTCAATTATCTATTGAACCCCTCTTATGATATTTACTTGACATATATTAATTTATATCTCTGATACCATCTCCATATCATTTGATGTGTACAGACAGATACAAACAAATCTAACATCTTTGTTACATTTGGTACTAATTCAAATAGATCAAAAAGCAAATAAATAATTTGCTCACCCTTATGTTGTTGAGTATGGCAAATGTGCTCATTATACTAAGATATCTGTACTCCTCCTTGATATTTAATTAAATTTCTAGCATTTTTTGTTACAATCTATGGCCATAAAGTTTGAAGGATTGTGAACAATACTGGTCACGTGTTTCAAGGTTATGCTACGGCCACACCTAATGGTTATTAGTGCAAGCTTTATGAAGCTAAATCCAATTCTAAGTAATGCCTTAGTCTTTATTGCATTCAATGTTTAGATGGTTATATCTTTAGCTGTGTAATACTAGAGTTAAAAATGGACAACATGTACAGATGTTAGTGACAAAGAGACTCCTGAATTTTAATGACTAAAATAAGAACCATTATCGGAACATCTAAAGAAAAGTTATTGATAAAAAGAACATCCATATGGGAGTCCTAAATTAACCCATGCAGCTGCATATGCAGATGAGTCATGAGAGAACGATGCATAAGTATATATTCAGGTCAATATCCATCACTATGTAGACTATGCATTAATAGATCGATACATGCTTCCTCCCCATCACCTACAAAATATAGATATACCATAAGAACATTAAACTAATCTCTACGGCTTTACCCATCACTCTGTGCTTAACAATGTCTTATTTAAACTTACAATATAACGTATTCATTCATTATTGACAATTGACTTTTTCCTACCTCAGAATTTAATTGTACATATTTTACACAATAATTTTATAATATAAATTCAGTAGGCCATAACTATTCCACATACACTTTGCAAGATGTTGAAATTGCATAACACAGCTGCTTGGAAGGATTGGGGGCTGAATTATTTCAATACACCAATGTTATAAAAATTACATGCAATAGAAATAAAGCATAAGGTGGCAGATCACCACAATCATTGTCCTTGAACTAGCATTCACATAAAAAATATCCTATTTCCTGTACCAACAAATATGCACCTTTGCAATGCCAAGACAACTAGTTTAGAAAATGGTGGAATAGGAATATTTCACAGGTTCATGATGACTAATGCAAAAGTACTAGAGCAACTAGGCACTTAAGTTCTAAACTAAGCAGCAACAAATATCTAGTAGAGGAAGTGGATGACAATCTCATGAATGCTTGTAAGATGTTGTCCATAGTCGAATGGACATGATCATATTCAAGTGTTGGATTCACCAAAAAAAAGAATTATATAGAGTACATAGGGGAAATTATTTGGATTGCATATGATAAAACATGATCTTAAAAGAAGCTTCAACAATGAAAATACATCCATTTTAATGTCAGCAAGGTAATTTGGAATTGTAGCAAAAAAGTCCCCAGTATTTTTTGATCTTCTAAATCTCTCATTATAAAGCTGGTGTGTGTTTAATGTCAACAAATGTCCTGCTTGCCGACAGGTCAGTGACGAATACACCAAGGCGGACATGAGATTTCAGAAATCACTGATGAAAAGCCATTTTAGACTTGCAATTAGGATAAACTATTGAGTGAATCTCCATCACAACCCCTAACGGAAACAAGCATGAAAAGAAAAACAAAAGACATACTGATGCACCTTATGCAATTCAATGAACTTAAGAAGATTAGCTGTTATCTCAGTAAGATTTATGCAGCTGGAAAAGAAAACTCATCATGTGCATTAAAGCAGTACTATTAGACACCTCTTCTTACTATCTAAAATAACAAAACAAACAACTTTTCTAGTGAGTTCTTAAAATGAAATTTGCTGACCTAACAGAGATCATGAAAATTAGATCATTTGCTCCAAATTTGTCCAAAGCCCATCTTTTACTTAATTTAATCTCTTCGGTCGATTATTTGACCATCAAACCCTTCTAATTTTTCAGTGCAGCCTTTCTTCTGTTTTCATCCATCTGCCCGAAGACCTTCATCGCAATCATGTTATCGTCAAAGTATTGTGCATAAGGGTGGCCCTTTGGGACGAGTCTCCGGTACGTCTGGAATTGCTTTTCTGCCTCATCCTTCTTCCTCAACAATGTGTATATGATGCCCTGACAAAGATAAGGCCGGAAATCCCTTGGCTCCTCCTTCACCAGTTCCTTATATATCTTAAGCGAGTCCTCGTACCTCCCCTCTATAACCCTAATTTGTGCCATCAGCAGCTTAAAGTCCCTCAAGTCCTCCTTTCTCCTGGCCTTCTTGCACAGTTCCATCGCGTCCTCGACTCTCTTCAGGATGGCGTCGAGGTCGCCATCGTCCTCCGACTGCGAGGTGGCCATTATGAGCCCGTGATAGGCCTCAACCAAGAAGGGGTCTTTCTCGAGGAGCTCCTCGAATCCTCGCTTCGCAGTCTCCGTGTTGCCATCGTAGCTCTGCAGGTGGGCCTTGAGGAGAGGGAGGTCCTTCTCGGCGGGCTCGAGGGCGATGAGCCGGTCGACGATGCCAATGGCCTCGGCGAGCTTCCCAGCCTTGACCTTGAGCTCCATGAGGGCGCGGAGTGACCGGACGTCGTCGGGGTGGGAGTCCAGCCGCTCCTCGAGGATCCGCTCCTTCTCCGCCTCGGTGAGGGGGGTGGTCTCGGAGGAGGCATCGGAGGGCAGGGCGTCGGATTGGACGGCGGGGGCGGGAGGGGCGGCGGCGGCGGCGGCGGCGAGAGCGGGTGGGCACAGGCGGGCGAGGAAGAGGGCAGCCGCGGCGATGGAGGTGGCTGCAGCGACGGAAGCGATCTTGATGACGGGCGCGAGGGAATTCGACGATGATTTGGAGGAGCAAGACGCGCGGAGGGAGGGACACGGTTTCGTCGAGGAGGAGGAGCAGGGGAAGGGCTTAAGAAGCGGAGGAGAAGAGAGGAGGGGTTTGGAGAAGAGAGGGAGGTGAAAGGGGTGGCGGTGGGCGGTGCGGCAGAGAGGCTCCATGTCTCGGTCTCCAAAGGGGCGAAGGCGAGGAAGACTGGAGAGAACTGAGAAGGCCAAAAACCCTACGAGGGATAAAGAGGATCCTTTCAACGAACGTGGTATCTTCACGCGCAAATCATACGCTACGATATGGGAGCCTCTCCACCGTCAGATCTTTAGAAGTTGAACAATCGCTTCCTCCTCCTTTTAAGTGGACAAACGTTAGTATTTGAGCTCGTATAAGACGGGCGTGTGTTATCTGATGCGAGACCAAAATTGATCCGGAAAATGGACACAATATAAATTATTTTTTTAAAAAAATAGAGATAAATTATATTTATCAGTCTGAATATTTTTTATCTTAAAAGAACTCGAATTAATCAGCATATATATTACTATTTTTTTTGATCAAATGTCATTTCATCCAAAAACTTAGATCGATAAATATGACATGAGATTAAGCCATAAATCTCAATTCTTAATGGTTTTAGCTTCTCTTCTCATCCAAAAACTTAGATCGATTTCTCAGGACTGCACTTGAGACCGTAGCCAGAATTGGGTGGAAACAAAGGAGCTACTTCTGCATCACCTCCGGCTCTGACCGACGTACTGCGGCGGCACCCGCCGGTACGCCCTGAAGAACTCCTGGTTCTCCTTCTCCAACTCCTTCCACACTGAACACAAATGGCAACGCCATGAATGCTTAATCACACAGAAAGAAGGAAGAGGTAAGCGTAGGGAGCAGCAGCAAAGACCAACCGGTGGAGGTGATGGCCGGACTGACATCGGCGTGCAGCAGCAGCGCCTCCATGCATTCCTCCATGCTCATGTGCCACAGCAGGCACGTCTCGATGAGATGCTGAACCTGATCGGCCAAAAGCACGGGTCAAGAGCACGATCTATGTATCGATCTAAGGACACGGTGAGAGCAAGCGATCTGCCTGTAATTACCAGTCTGATGTATGCGGCGGCCGGAGAGTAGTGCTCGCCCATGTCGAAAGCTTGACTGGTTCTGCTGCGGCCGAGGTGGTGATGATGGTGGGCAGATAAAAGGAGGAGAGGGTGGAGGTGATCACGTGCCAGAGTGGAGATCATTGGAGGAGAGGAGATTACGAAGAGCGTACGTGCCTCACGTCTTCACGTGAAGTGGGGCTTGTGCATGCTGAGATGGAGATGGGGTTGCGTGCAAGGCTTTGACGACATGCGTGTGACCGTCACACTAAAAGACAACGCATGCGACGTTGCAGAGATGTCGGTGTTATCCGCCACGGTGACACTCACCGAGAAGAATGAGGTGTGATATTTCTAATGATATTTTCTCACCACGTGTCTAACATCTCAGTGTCACGTCACCAACGTATCATACGACCGGACACCTAAATATATGACTGAATATAATTTAATATTAAAATTAATTATATATTATTTTTTATAATTAGTTTTTATAATTTTATAAAATTAAAAATTTAAAGAGATAAATATTTCATAATATAAATATCTCAATATAACTTCTAAAAATATAAGGATCGAGATATTAAAGATAATTAATTATAAGAAATAATATGTAATTAATCTCAATATTATCATGCCCCAAGTTCAACACATCACAAAGGTAATTAAATCTAGAAAAAATATACTATATTCTTCATAATTGACACATACCTCACCGAAGACGAGGCCGAGAAGCTGGTCCACAGCCAGACCAGTGCCGGCATTGTCAAGGTGAAGGACAGCCACGCCATGCCCGAGCCCTCAGCGCTAGATAGGGAAGGCGTCGTTCTGAACCACGAGGAGGCGCCCCTGGACGTGGACATCAAGAACGGCGGCTGCGTCGTGGTGCTGAACACCAAGAACCTTCCTCTGATCGGGGAGGTCGGGCTCGGCGCCGATCTCGTGAGGCTGAACGGCCACGCCATGTGCTCCCCGGGGTTCTCCTGCGACTCGGCCTTCCAGGTGACGTACGTGGTCAGGGGGAGCTGTCGCGTGCAGGTCGTCGGCGTCGATGGCAAGCGCGTGCTGGAGACGAAGGTGGAGGGGGGTTGCCTGTTCATTGTGCCTCGGTTCTTTGTGGTGTCAATAAATGGATCAATGCCTAGAGCAAAAGGCATTAAAATCCAATACTATTAAAGCATGATTTTAAATTCCGACATCAATGTATCGAAATATGGTACACAGGCTAAAAACCCATGTTAATGAGCGATTACTCAGCACATTATGATTTGCAAGATTCAAAAGTGTGTGACTTATTTTTATTCCATAGTTAATTTGTCTAGTAGGCTCTTAACTGAATACTTGTGCTGCCTTCCATATCTACAGGGATTGTAACCTACATCTGTGCATGTCATTGGTGCTAGTGTGACAATTCGATGTGAAATGAATAATATGAGCATGCATCAGGTCCATATGCAATTGGTAGATTGACTAGTTTTCATAGCCATTAATAATTTCAACCATCATACTGTAATCATTCATTATAGAAAATGTACTACATATTTAGCAGTCACAAAATTGAATCCAAATAGTTTAGCTCTTTTATCAGGTAGAGAAAAGAGAAAAGGATAATGGATCAAGTGAAAGATTAAACTTGCTCATTGTCAAGCTTTTCGTTTCTACCAGAGTAAATAGACAAAGGCATTACTTAAGAAGAGATCTTGCCAAGTGTTCACGAGCAGTTGCCAGGGCTTGAGAAATCGTCTGCAAATGTTAAACAATGAAATATTTTATTAAGGTTCAGCATGGTCCAGTGAATGTTAAATATTTTATTAAGGTACAGTATATCTAGTTATGACCCTCACCTGCTCGGACAAGGATGTGGCTCCATCAAGACTGTTTGCTGCTACTTTTGTGGCAATAACACTTGCTTCTGTCTCGAGGACAATCCTGCAAGTCAAAACAAGATCCATAAGTATACTTTGATAACATCTTGGTTTCACATGTAATGGTTTAAAGTGCAAGTAGAAAATGAAATATAAGTGGATTTAATTTTGAACATATAATTAATGTCGTAATTTTTTCAGTTCTTTCTATCCTAGCTTCAGGTTCTTTATCAAACTCGTCCAATAGGCTTTTTTCTTAACATTCTGTGTTCAGTCTTAGTGAGGTCTTAGTTTGGGAGACATTATCTTCTAATTTCCGCTTCGCTACAGCACCATTTGGAAAGTTAAACCACAAGAATATCTTTACCCTTTACAAACAAGTCCCGAATTTCCAGAGAGATCATTTTCTAGGTTATATGTTGACTAAGCAACATGGATGGAAGGAGATAGTGAAAAATGGCAGAAGCACAAACAATTTATGCAAGTCAAATTAACCAAACAGAAGTATCTTACCCTCCATCAACAATTTCATCAAGGCAAAGAAGGATCAAATCCAGGTTTTCAAGTGCTGATCTTTTATCTACATTGTTCCTGGAACCATGCAACACAGTTACAACTGTGAATCAGCAGATAGAAGTGAAAGACAATTGCATTTCTTTGTTCTTTTACGTGAGAAAACAGTAACAAATGAAAACGGAGAAACCTAAGAAGCAGCCCGACTGCATCAAAGAATCCCTGAAGCACAGTCGCTATGATGAGCTCATTCTCATCGTCTCCTCCAGTAACAAAAAAGTGAAGGTCCTGAATGAATTTGTAGACGACAATGTAACCGTCAAGCATTGCTATCTCAGCTGTAAATGGTCACAACACTAAATCAGCATAACAAAACATAAATCCTGTCTATGTAACAACAGATAAAAAGGTAAATTTGGTCAATTCTTTAGTTATTTTATAGTCAGACTAAACATATCTGCATGAGTTATTTTCAAGAAGACTACAATTGCTTGAGTTATCCAAAAAAAATCAGCAGGATGAAGTATCTTGCCTGTACTAGATAAAGGAGAGTTTGGATGATTGCATATCAACTCATCCACAATCTGTGGCATTAAGAGAAATAGTGTATCTACCTTAAGTCGATGACAATGCTTAAGCTATGACCAAGAGATGAAAACAGATAAAAAACAACTGTCGAGTTACATAGATATTCAGGGAAGGAATTAGTAACAATTCAAGCTCATCAAGAAAATAGCCAGGGCAAGTCAACATAAAGCAGAATTTTTCAGGCACCACAATTTTCTTCATCCCTTACAAATTAAAAACCGACATCTAACACATATGCTCAATAATTTTAATAAGAGAGCTCCTCTCAAGTATGTTCCATAGAGAGTTGAAGAAGCTGCATTGCTTTAGCATGTGGAAATGATTAAACAACATAATCTCTTCCCCGGTTAAGACATATAATGTTTTCCGACATGGGTAATACAATTTCAAGATAATGACTCGAGAAGCATGCTAAATTCTTCTCTTCCAGAAACAACATGCTTACTACTTTAAGGAACATTGTCTCTGTAGTCAAGATGGCATATAAACAGTCTGTTCAGCATGTACTCATTTATAAGCAGCCATTGATGAATCAGTCTCCTAAATCAACCATTAGAATAAGTATATCTAGAACGCCAACGGAAGGTGACAGCAATAAAGAATCACAGTGAGAGATTTTTTATGAGAAATAAGGATATGAGAATATAATTGATCTCAATAAATCTTTCCTTTGAGCATAAAATATTAACAATAAAAGCAAATAAATTATCCTCCATTGAAAGAAAATTAATCCACAATTTATGCACTTACTAATATAAACATGTGTGCTCAAGAATACTGTGGTAGAATGCCAATTGTAAGTACTCAGAAACCAATTAGAAAGTGGAACAAACTGATGACAGACATGTTACCTTCAGTCCTAGCATTTGTTTTCAGTGTCTTGGTAAATATAGACTTCTCATATGCCAATTTAGCGGCAAGTGTAGGCCAATCATCTGTATAGTACTTAACAGCCACTCGTTTTCCCTCAGAATCAAGGAGAAGAACATTCTTGATGGATGGGCAACAATCCTACAAATTAAACAGACAGAGAGAGGTTGCAATTGTAAGAAACAAAATCCTTAATGGCTCCAAAGAAAGTTAATGAAAATGTTGAACAAAAATTAGTTTAAACGGTAACATATATGGCAGAGTACCAATGTGCTCGAGTGAGCATGAGACTGGTATCTCACCTGCTGATGCCAAGTGAATTTCTAGGTGTCATTTGATTAAGCTACTGCCGTTCTTGAACAGTCAAACTCATATCAGTCTAAAAAGTGTATTGCAAGTGAAGTACTAAAAAGCTAAGGTTGAAGGTCTTGTCAGACACATCTAGAGATCAGAGTGGTAACTGAAGAAAAATTTGAGACTAAATGTGGAACTGATAATGATGAAATGCATTAGTATTTTAAGTGAAATAAGCATTTATGTACAAGACACATATGTATACAGGCCATCAGCATCAGTACTTAAAGGTGGTTGACTTAAGAAATTTTTATGACTTTATTTATGTTTGTTGTGGACTCTATGAGTTTATGATGGTATAGATTATATAGATAAAGGGTCAGAAAGGTGCAATATAAATTATAATAACTGGGCATAGATAAATGGTGGAAAACCACGTGTCAAAAAGCTGATAAGAAAACTAAACCATAAGAATCAAGGAAATAGACAAAAAGAAATCTTAAATAGCTGCAGTCAGAAGATTCGCTGAATTTTCCACATTTTAGAGGAATGCCAGCTCAAAACTCACATATTATTCTTCATCTGTTTTTAAGAAAATTGCGTAGAGTATAAACAAATGAAGAGGTAAAAATATGTTATGATGACCCAAATCTAGCATTTTTTTAATGTACATCACATGGTTTATTCAATAGATACAATCAAATGACAAAAAATTGTAAGTAGAAAGGTCACAAAAAAAAAGGTTTAGATATGATAACATTAACAATTTCTTTCAGAGTTTCTGTAATTTGAGTTGTGACAGTAGCTAAGGCATAAAAACTGTTGTCAAATGAAAACCTGAACTTTACCAACAGTTTAAACATAACCATGGTTACAAGCTGAAAATAACATACTGTGAAATTGAATGTACTCGTAGCAGGAAAAGAGTCTAGTAAAACCAATATATACTCAATACAACCAATTGGAAATTCTACCAAGTATATATCACACCATATACCCAAGTATTCCAAACTCCAGTTGAACAAAATGATACTCATTTATGAGATAACACAAAAGCAAAGTATATTCCAAGTAAATCAACAAGAAAAGGCCCTACCTATGACCCATATTGTTAACATATAATCTTCTTAAGTGGGGACACTGACAGCTGCACTCAATTGATTTTACTATGGTCTTTAAATTAATTTTCTTGTCAAGAATGGCCTCATGTACAATCTTATATAAAGAGGTTCTGTTTACTCAGGATCGAATACACATCTTCAACCAACCTGTGATAATCAAAGAAACTTGCATATTTCTATACTACAGGACTTCATGCAAATGGATGCTTTAGTTCCTTGAGTGTTTGAGATCACATAACTAGTTAGAGATAAAGCTTGCTCAGTTTATTCAACAATTCAGCTCATTTCATCCTTCAATGCTTATCACTACATGTATATCTCCAGAATGTATGAACAGTAACTGAATATTGAATACCAATTTTCATTGTGCTTATAGTCTTATACTATATGATGTCTGTACAAGACCTTTTAGACATATATACATTCAGGTTCTTACTTCTTACAGATGAGATATTTATATCCTTGACATGGTTTACTGTACCAGGTTGGTCGATCTGAAGATCAGATCCCAGAGACTCCTGACAAATATCTGTTGAAGCAGATACTAGCCAACCTGATCAGATTTTTGATAGTCCATTCTACTTCAATGTCGGTCCTAAATTCTATCACCAATCTCACTTCAATGCACTTGAAGCTTGACTGCGTAGCTACATGAATTGTCAATTTCTCCTACACAAAACTGTACAGCAACAAAGCTTCAAGAGTAAAAATTCCTGTATAATAATCTAAATCAGCTAATGCAATCATCAACATAATTACAGTGTAGAGAAAAAGGAAGGAGAAGTCACATAGTTTTTCTTGATATTAGTGAAGAAATAATTTGTTATGAAATGAATGATTTCATTCATCAAGGGAATACATATTTATGCAGATTTGAGGGAGAGATTTATCTTAACCATGTGCTCAAATCATACACATATATCTTGATGATTGATCCTAAATCATAGACTGATTGAAGATTAAAGCATGTAAGAAATACAAAATTATCATCTCTTATTTACCTCTACCATAATCTTCTATCAATGAGATGTAATAAAAGGATCGAATTATTCTTATTCTTAAACTTAATGCGCCTGTCACCCGTTCTACCAACCATCAAAGAAGCATCTCGTTTGGATCCTCTTCCTTTCATCCGTTTTAGATCGCCGTCCCTTTTCTGCTTTAAGATCTATTCTTTTCTTTACGTTTGTACTTCATTTCCGCTTAGACCAAAGGCATCAATGACGCCCAAAAACACCAGATGATCATCGTCGAACAGATCTAGATCTAAAGGTTTGTCGGCCAGATTGTCACGACAACGACAAAATATACCAGAATTCACAAGACTGCAGGAAAACTGTAGATCCAATCGACTAGAGAGGCAGAGAGACGATCAAAGAACGTACCATTCGAGAGATTCTAAGGGCAAAAGGACGGGGAACGACGAGATCCAATCGGCAATTGGCGCAGCGACCTCCGATGCTGAGCTCGTAGTCTGTCTCCCGAGATTAAAAGAGGCAGTCTTAGAAACCACCTCAAAGTCCAAACCCAAGGTGGTGTCATCAAGTCGGGTTCGGGTCAGATCCGTTTGCGTTCAATGCCTCCTACGGTCCGTGCAAAGCAATAACACCGGTCGTAATCGGATCGAATCGTATCCAACGCCTCCGCTCCGTCAAAGTACGTCGAATCATAGCCGTATATTTACGCTCAATCTGATGATCCTCCTACGGTCCGTGCAAAGCAATAACACCGGTCGTAATCGGATCGAATCGTATCCAACGCCTCCGCTCCGTCAAAGTACGTCGAATCATAGCCGTATATTTACTCTCAATCTGATGATCCAAGAAAGTGACACGTCAAGGATCCCAAACGAAAAGCCTCCTCCAATCAAAACGCTACCCTTTTCTTTATATACGTCTGCCGCTCTCTCCATTCCGATCGCCGCTTGTTCTCCACGATCGTTCGTTTCTCTTGCGCCACACGCAAGTCGCTTTCCGGAAACCCTCGCTTCTGATGGCGCCCAAGGCCGAGAAGAGGCCAGCGGAGAAGAAGCCCGCCGCCGAGAAGCCGGCCGAGGACAAGGAGAAGAATGCGGAGAAGTCCGCTGCCGAGAAGATGCTCAAGGCCGAGAAGCGCCTCCCCTCCAAGGACAGCGCGTCCGGCGACAGGAAGAAGAAGAAGAAGACTAAGAAGGGGAGCGAGACCTACAAGATCTACATTTTCAAGGTGCTCAAGCAGGTGCACCCGGACATCGGCATCTCAAGCAAGGCCATGTCCATTATGAACTCCTTCATCAACGACATCTTCGAGAAACTCGCCCAGGAGGCCTCTCGCCTCGCCCGCTACAACAAGAAACCCACCATCACTTCTCGCGAGATCCAGACCTCCGTCCGTCTGGTGCTCCCTGGCGAGCTTGCCAAGCACGCAGTCTCTGAGGGGACCAAAGCGGTGACCAAGTTCACCAGCTCTTGAGCCGTGGCTGCCGCTAGGGTTATACTGCTTTGGTGAGCAAATGGCTGCTAGGGTTATAATGCTTTCTTTTTGTATTGGATATGATGGGCGTGTGGTTGTTACATTTAAGTTTATGAGCCGTGTTGAGGAAAAGGGGTATTTGATGATATGATTTTTGATATAAGTTAATATAAATCTTAAAATGACATCGCTTTCATGCATTACATTTGGGAAAGATAGGTATCACCTCTTTATCAGTCTAACAAGCGTACTTTATACTTGTTGATGTATGATACAAAAGGTCAGGGGGACTTCTTAGATTAAGAATTCTACATTTATGAGGATTTTGGAGGAAGGGTTTGATGCATGAGGCTGTTGGATGTTTATTTGTGCTTGTTGTCACAATGCTTTATATCTCAATCTTCCTCTTTCCAGCTTCTTTCCATGGAATAATTTGTTCAGCATATCTACAGTGTGTCATCTAGTGTTCCCTTTCCAATTGTCTTTGTCGTGGTGGTTCTTTTCTTTTTGTTTTATGTTATGGATGCGATGCTTATGTGGCTTTCTGCTTGATGTTTTTATGGATGTTAGTATCAGAAACCACAGATCATTCTGATAGACGATTGGAATTTCTATGTTATGTCCTTGAATTTGTTGGAAACTTGAGCAAAAGTTGGATTTGGGGAAATTTCTTGCATTTTATTTTTGTAATTGGTCAAGTGCTTTTTGTCTTTGTTTTTTATGTTACTGGATGTGGTATTATTATATGATTCAATATCTTTTATGTGGCTTCCTGATTGGTGACTAATTTGCTTATGAATGTTTGTATCAGAATCTGCCAATCATCCCGATAGATGGTCAGAATTCATTTAATATGTCCTTGGATTTGTTGGAGACTTGAGCAAAAATCAGATTGGAGAAGAAATTATATACGTTTTCATCTCTAACCGGACAGGTGCTTTTTCACCTTAAATCATCTTGATTCTTTTAGTTGTTCTTAAACCATCCTGCTGATAGATGCCTTATATTTCAATTTTCAGGTGAACTTCTTATAGTATACTTTTCTTTCAAAGTTCAAAGTAGCTAAGATGTAGAAGTTCAATTAGTCAGCAGGTTTCCATGTGGCTAGGTGACTGCTTTCTCAATATTATAGTTCTATCACTGCTGATTGGTTTGGTCATTTTTGCAATGTATGATGTTCAAATATTCAGCAAAATTAGTTCTTGTTTTACATCCTATGTTTGTGTTAGCAGTTCTGATTCTAAATTTGTTCCAAAGCCTTGGACAAGCAAAGCTATGATTATCACTCATCCCCCCTTTTTGAAATTTCTTCATAAAAACTTGTTTAAGACAAGACATTTAAGTTTTTTAGCGATTGTCCAAGTGATCAAAGTGCTATGCCGACGTGGAGATGTAGTGCATAAGATGATCGGCTGATGAATCTGCTATAGTGCAAGCATATCTTTTTTAAAAAAGAAAGTAATAGTTTGGTTTTCTGGTAGTGCTCTGTCATTACTTGCTTGGCATAAGTATTTGGCATGGATATGGTTCATTGTTAGTTTACCTTGCCATTAGTATTTCTCTGGTAGTTCTGTCATTACTTGGCATAAGTATTTAGCATGGCATGCTTTCGGTGCTAGTTTCCTTTGCCATTACTATCTCAAATTATGCACTAGCTCTTTATCTCTTCTCCTTTCTTGCTTCCTGTAATTTTCTACAAAAGGTCTTTAAAATACTTGGACATGATATTTCAGATTTTGACGCTCGTGTGTGATGATATGATTCCATGAAAAGTAAATGACATTATACTCCTTTTTAGCTTTTCCACATTGGGATGTTGGTACTCGAATAAATTGATATATTTTCGATACAGATTTTGAGATGCATGGCCACTAAGAAGCCTATTAGCTATCTCATTGGTTTCTTTGGGTTAACCATAACAAATCCTTGTTTCACAATCATCTGGGCAAGTTTTTGCTTGTACTAACGATCATACTTAGCACAGATGTCTTTCTGAGGGCTTCCAAGGGGTTTTTCTTCCAAATACTAGATCTGTGGTAAATAATTTGATCTCAGTTTCACTATTAAATGTGATGGCTCATTGGATTCCCTTTCTGGACCTGTAGATACAGGTTACATTATCAGGTGTGATGGAGAAATCTTAGCTGCTGATGTTGTCCTTTGCAAAGTGAAGGAGGCCAAGCAAGTTGAAGGTATAGAGCTGGTATGGAAGGTCCGAGGAGAACTAAAGAGGAACAACTGCATTGTGAAGATTAACTTTGAATCTAAGAAATTATTGACACCTTATTTGAAAACTACTGCTCCACCTTGGCATTTGAAGTCTGTAATAAGTAGGATGAGTTGATGTGGTCTGCGGCTCAGCATGGACAGTCACCATCTAATCTGATGGAATAATTGACTTATTTATTTGTTGAGACTCGATCAACAGTGCATAATGTTACAAACGTAGAGATTGTTTTAACTTACTAAGTAATTTCAATGACAAATTCAGGAGAAGTTTTGGTACATCAAAACTTATCCAGAATCCGTTAAGAAGGATCGCAGAGACACAACATATTTAGCTTTTTTCAGTAAATGATATCCTACGAGGGCATCCGGTCAGTTGGTAGCCCACCCTATACAACTTTCTTGCTCATTTCCATGCTTCATACACATGAGCCTTGGCATGATTAAAAGTCTACCAGAAACATAGGGTTTTATGAAGTTCAAAATGCAGAGACAGATTATTTTCACAATCAGGTCACAAACCAAAAAACCTTTCCATGGCGCCAATCTTCTCCTCTCTCTTAAACTTTATCAGAAAACACATTAAATAATCTGACAAAGCATTATCGTACGATAACTACTTGCAAGTAACATTTATAAAGATTGTGATGTGTAACTAAATCAATAAGCAGTTTCGTACAAGAATTTACAACCAGAAAAATTGAACAGAGGAAAATTAGAGAGAAGTATAGTTTTAGGGATAAACCGAAGCAGGAAACAACTTCAGAATGAAGAAATATCTGAAACATACATGCTTCCTTTTGTTCTTACTTTCCAACTCATGGAAGATCAGATTTTGCTAGTTTGCAGCGTTATGGTTATCAATTGCCAGAGTCAGCCATCACCTTCCTTCAAGTTGAACTTTTGGAACAGTAAATGCTTTCCTTTGAAACTCTTTCACATCTTAAAATGACCTTCATAAAATCGTGGGCACGCATCAATATCGACATGCAGTGAACATACTTCGTTTAGTTTTCAAGTTTTTGGATCTTAAATAAGAAAATAGAGATTATACCTGAAACCACAGATGAATTAAGGGCCCTTCTGAAGATGCCTCTCACCATGTAGTTTTGAGAGAATCAATACATTGAAATAGCTTTACTTTTAAATATGTCAGACAAAACCACACCTGTAACCGAGTTAATTGGTGGGTTTTATGTCAAATCGACCGACCAGTAACCTGCACAGAATACAAGCTAGATCATTATCGGAACCATCATACTTGTTGACCATCAATGGTTTGACTATTAGATTAACAAACTAAAACCAACCTCAGCATTATGCATTGAATAGAGGAAATAGCAGCTATCCTGCCACCTGTTGATCAATCCATTGCTGAGAGCATATAACCACAGGTTACTCTGAAATACATTTACTCGATAAGAAATGTTTGCCGTCCTTTAGTGCCCATCGAGCATATACCATGAATAAGAGAGGTATATGTAGCCCAATTTGGCTTCACATTGCATCTGATCATGTCATCGTATAAAGCAGAAGCTTTAGCCAGCTCACCGCTTATAATGCAACCACGTATTAGTAAATTGTATGCTAACGTATCGGGCTTCAATCCACTTCTAAGCATCTCATCCCATAGCTGAAAAGCTTCATTTAGATTACCCGTTCTGCAGTACTCATAAATTAGTGTCGAATAACTAATGCAATCAGGAAAAATATTATTTTGAACCATATGACCAACAAGGCTAGCAGCATCCTGAATTCTCCCAGTTCTGCAGAAACCCCTTATTAGCAGGTTGTATGTAACTGTATTGGCTAAAATTCCATTAAGCATCACTCGATGCAGCATTACAGCTTCATTCATATTTCCTTCTCTAGTAAGGCAGTCGAGCAAGGAGCCAAATGTAACACTATTAGGAAGAACTCCACTAACTAGCATTTCCTTGCAAAGCATCAGTGCTTTATTAAAGAATCCTGCTTTACACAATCCATTTATCAGTACGTTATATGTCACAACATTTGGCTGACATCCCTCAGCGGCCATTTTATCCCAGATAACTAAGGCTTCTGAAAATTTTTCTAGCTTCGAATATGCATCAACTATATTAGTATACAAAATAACATCAGGCTTAATTCCTTTGTTGATCATTTCTCTTAATAGTGAATGTGATCTTACTTTATCCTGCATTAAAGATCCATAAATAAGTACACTGTAACAGACAAGATCCATATTTACTCCCCTCTCCACCATTTCTTTCCAGAGATCATAGGCATCATCTATTCTTTCTTGTTTGCAGAATCCATGAAGAAGGGAACTGCAGCTCATCTCATTTAGTGCCTGATGCTCGCTGTGTAGATCATCTACAAATTCCTTGGCTTCAGCCACTCTGCCACACATACACAAGCCAGTTATCAAGGACCTAAAAGTATAATTGTCTGGGGTGATGCCCTTCTTTACCATCCCATCATAGAACTGGAAAGCTGTTGCCGTATCTCCTATAGAACAATATCCTTCTATCATGACATTATAGGTCACTTGGTTCGGCAACACATTCAGTTCTACCATTTCATCAAACAATCCAGCAGCTTTCACCATCAATTTAGCCCGACAATATCCACTAATAAGGGCTGTGAAAGTATGAGTATTCCATGTCAAACCATTCTCAGGCATCTGGCGGTGAAGCTTCGAAGCACTAGCCAAATCCCCTTCCCTGCAATATCCAGTTATCAATGAAGTATAAGTTAATTCATTTGGTGATAATCCTTGCTCGGTCATCTCCCTAAAGAGAACCTCTGCTTTGGTCAAACCTCCTGATCGGCAATGCCCATTAATCAAAGAATTGTACGGGTAAATGGTAACTCGCAAACCTTCTTCCTTCAGTTTGTCGAACAACTGGAGGGCATTATTCAATTTGCCCCTTTTGCACAACGAATCAATCAATATTGAATAGGTAACATCGTCCGGAGATAGACCTTTCTCCTTCATCTTTGCAAAAAGAGATTCAGCTTCATCAAATTTCCCACTCTTACACAAAGTATTGATCAAAGCATTATAAGCAAACAGATTGGGGATCAACCCCACGTTTCCCAGCTTATGAACTAATCCAAAAGCCTCTTCTAGCTTTCCTTTCCTCCTCAATCCATCCACCACTGTGGAGCAAACAGCTTTGGTCGGTACCAAGCCTAAGTCGATCATTTCCTTGGTTATTTCCACAGCCGTTTCCAACTCCTCCACCTTGCAAAGTCCAAGAACCAAAGTGCAATAAGTCACATCATTGGCCTTCAACCCACTCGACCCCAAAGAATTCTTGATTTCCATCGCCTCCGTAACCTTTCGGTTCTTGCAAAGCCCATGAATCAACACATTGTACGGGACGACACTAGAATTTGCCCCATCGGCCTCCATCCGGGAAATGATTTCTTTAGCACTATTCAAATCCTTCAGCTCGCAAAAGGCCTTCACCACCGCAGTGTAGATGAAGACGTCGAGGGTGATCCCAGATCTCGCGGCCTCGTCGAACACCGCGAAGACCAGATCGAACATCCTGGCCTTGGCCAATCCGTGCATGACGTCGCTGAAGGTCCGGGGCTCCGGGAGAAGACTGAGGACGGCGAGGGCGTCCAAGGGGCGGCCGATCTGAAGGTAGGCCTGGACCAGGAAGTCGAATGCGATAGTGGAGCGGGGGGCGCCGCAGAGGCGGCCGGCCTCTGCGACGGCGCGGAAGGCGTCGACCGGGAGGACGCCGGGGTGGGAGGCAAGGGTCTGGAGGAGGGAAGACGCGGGCCAGTGGAGGCCGGCGCGGAGGAGGGCGTGGGCGAGGAGGGCGAAAGAGAGGGGGGAGTGGGGGAAGCGGTGGTGGAGGCCGAGGAAATCGAAGAAGCGGAGAGCGAGGCGAGGATCGTCGTGGCGTTGATGGTGAAGGATGAGGAGAAGGCGCTCGACGTGGCGGGGACGGAGGCGGTTGGCGACGAAGGGGGAGGCGAGGGCGGCGCGCCAGCCCTGCGGGCGGGAACGGAGGATGTCGCACAGGATCTTGACGAAGCCCTCGTCGCGCTCGTTGTTGTCGGGGGAAGGAGGGTTGGGCGGCCGGACGGGGATCCCGGCGGAGTGCGGTCGGGCGAGGAGGAAGCAAGCGGGGTGGAGGAGTGGAGAACGACGACGCCGATTCATCGTTCGACCAAGACGGAACCCGACGCGTCCGTCTCACATAGTGGGGACTTGCCCTATTAGCTAACCGGGTCGAGATCAAATGGAAAGCCCGGTTCCGCTCAACTTGACCCAAACTGAACCGAACCCAAAGCCGGCCCAAACCAAAAGCTTCATCCATTAGAAAACAGCCACGTGTATGAATTCTAAAATTTGTATCCCATTACGAACTTCATGAAATCCATAGTGAAAACTGAAATTGTCATTTGTCATACACGTTTATTTACCTAAAAAAGTATCTGATTCGAACACCCCGTTAATACTTCTCTAGAAAAATCCTAAAAGAATTTTTCTATCAATTTTTATTTTATTTTATAAAGAGTAAACACCAAAGGCAGGATTGGAGTTTTGAGATTTTCTTTTTTTTTATCGAAATCTATTGCGATCAATTAAAAAATAATATAATAAGCAAAATTACCCAATAGGAAAAAATAAAGAGCTTTCTACTAAGTAGATACTCATCATTTTATTAAATAGATTCCTATGCATGAATAGAATGTGTATGTCATGAAATCACTTAATAATATAATGATCATAGAATATATATATATATATATATATATATATATATATATATATATATATATATATATATCCATCATATATAATATAACTTAACTAATCAAATATCAATGTACTAGAGATAACATATATATTATTATGAAAGATGATAAGTGATGCACTAAGATGGCAGTCAATGTTAGACATTCTCTATAAAATTAAGATGATGATGTTAGACATTCTCTATAGAATTGTGGAGATGATGACTGGATTTGGCCAAATTGTGAATGATCCAATTGGGATGCTGTGTTGCTGTTGTCATTTCTTATATTCTTCACTAGCATTCATTTTTCTTGTTAAAATGTGGGCAGCTCCTATCTTTCTGCTAATGGTTAACTTGCATTGTATGCTTTCAAATTGTTTCAGCTGTATCATGATTTTGAGCTAAGGACAATGTGGTTGGACATTGTTTAAGTTTAACTTTCTGTAAAATTGATAGGATAATGACCGCTAATTTGGCCTAGTTGTTAAATGATTTGATTTAGATGCAGCTTTGCATTTGGTTTCTATAGTTCATTTGTCACCTGCACATTTTTGTTTTCCTTGTTCCTATGACAAAGTGCTCTATGTTAAGTGATTGATGATGATGTCAGTTCTTACTTGTGGTTTCTGACATTTTACTGTTTCACTTTTGATCCTGTGTAATGAGTTTCTGTTCAATAACAGCTAGTATTGTTTCAAGAAGGTGAAGAGTGCAGTAGTGTGTGCCTTGTCTGCTACTTGAACATGTCTCCTCCTATCACTGACTTTGAGAAGTCCTAATGAGTATGTGAAAAATGTGTTTTGGTGGGTTGAGGTTTTCTCAGATGATCCTTGTGATTGGTGATCATGTGGTTGGCTGGATTGAATGTTTTGAAATGGAAATGATGCCTAAGGGTCATTATCTTTTGGATGTCTTTTTCATTTACTTCACAGTTGTTTGTTTGTAGTGGGTAAAATGATGTACTAAGCTCTTTACCTTATCACATTTCCTGATCCATATACTGTATATAACTTCTAAGATAGCAAAGGTATCTATCATACAGTTCCAAATTGATGTTACTTGGATGCTTAAATCTGATCATTTTATTGTCAGAGTGTGAGAATGAGATTACATTTGTGTTCTGATCAAGATAAGCTAGTCTTGTGAAACTATCATGTGGCAGACTATTATGTGATGGATCTAATCCTTTTGATCTACTGCTTTCATGGATTTTATTTGCTACATGTTTGATCTCAAAGGTTCCAAATTGTTGGATAACTCTAATAACATTATGTTACATGCAATTACCTCAAGAAGATGTTGCATTAATTTTCTGAAATTACTTTTAGAAGAATAATAATAAAAGTGGGATGTTTAGTTCAAGATGATGCTTTGTCTCCTACTTGCTCAAAAGCTGAGGTTGTAATTTTGTTGCTCCAGGTGTGGAGAGTTACAGTTCAGAGTGATCTAAAAGATCTATGGCATGAAGACAACCGATTACTATAGTTACACCTTCAACAATTTTGCAGCATGCAATCGGAGGAAAGAAAGAAAGGTAGATTGAAACCTTACAGTCATAGGTTGCTAGTAGGGAAATATCAACAATTTTATGGGAGATCTCTTAGGCTTGATTTAACCAGCTTTTCGCTGAAGTCCCAGAGCTTCTTCGCCAACTTCTTGTCTCTGGCCCAGGAACTCGGCATCTCCTCGTTGCAGTCGAAAAAGTACTTCCCGGTCACACCCTTGAGGCTCGGATGCAGTGCGACGTAGCATGTAGTAGCTGCTCCCTGCATGTATGTGGAATACACAATTCTATTTTAAGTGGATTTCTTTTTTATTGATTAATATATTTCATCAAAATTTAATTAATTATATTATATATATCTTATTCAATTATAAAGGATCACAAAATCTAACATTATGGTAACTGCTCGTATGTAGAATACACAACTCTCACGTTTACCTCTTGCAATTAACATCATATAGAATTATTAAGATTTTTAGTGATTCTCTTCTGATTTTTTTTTCTTCTTTTTTTAAGAACTATTGTAACATCCCATTAATCCCACGGAGGTGGACAATGTGTATAATTAGTTTATAAGGGTCTGATGAGGAGGGAAGCCAGCCGATCGGACTATTGGCAGGTGAAGGTGACTTAATACTGTGAGACTTTTTTTTTCTTTGCCATTTCAACTCGCACCTATCTAATCAGAAATATAGCTTAGCATGATACTAGATGAGCAAGAGGAAAATTAGATTCTCCATTGCATCGCAGGATTCTAATCCAGATTGCCCTATCTTTTGCAGGAAAAAAGGATTCTTTTTATGCATAGAGTGGCGGCTTTAATCATCAACCGAGTGCATCACACCTGTGGTACATTCTTCCAGAAGACATAACTGAATACTTTTAGCACCCCTGCAAGCAAGCAGCAAGCACAATGTATGAGTTCGGAACTTTTCACTCTTCAAATAAAATCGTCAACTTGGAAGGTTCATCGTGCATACGCATTAAAAGGAAAGAATGCCTCATCAAATTTGTCATGATCAGACCTGGATGAACAGAATTTACTGTAACTTTTGCACCATCTTCCTGTTAACCATGAGAGTAGTAAATCTGTGTAAAACCAACCTGTCATACCATGCTACATATCGAGAATTCAGATTGAGAAAACAAAACAGGCTACATGTACGTATGGATGCATCTTACTGGCCAGTAGTGTAAAATCTCACCACCTGAAGGAAAATTAACTTATATATACTCCTGCCCTGATCATGATCCAGGTCTTGGTCAACAGAAAGTGACTTCCTTTCTGATAAAAGTATGTTGCTTGTTTATCCCTGTTACTAAATCTATTTAGATACCAAGAGCAATCTTGTCAGTCATTCAAAGATGGATAAGATCTTTTGTGCTTGTGATTCTAAAAGTACTAAAATGGTCACCCAGGTCCATGCAGGATAAGCCAGGATGACGACATGGAGCAGCAGCAGATGCACAATTCAGCTGGTGTGTCAGGTTTGTGCACTTAAGTTAGAAAGATTCACCTAATGGCACATTAAGCATGAAATTATGAGTTCAGACTTCTCCTTTGAGCTTAGGCGTAATCCAGAAAATGATTTAGTTCATGCTTTATTTTCCTCTTTCTCCACATAAACAGCGTGAATAAATTTGAGGAATGAGAAGGAAGAAGATGTACGAACAGAACAGGGTTTTTACTTGTCTTTGCTAAGTTAATACATTTTATCTGTGACAATATTACAAAAGGGTTATAAAAAGATGTGGACCATGAACGAATTGTTTATATCTGCAAACTGTTCGTATAAGAGTCCATTTTGAGAAACATATTTGTATATCAATCAAATATAATGGTAGTTATGCATTTTTGTTCTTTGGTATGATTCCTTGTGTAGTTTATGCATCAAACTGAGTACCTGTAAGCGCCGAGATAGCTCATTTGCATGCAATATATTGGCCAGTTTGGACTGTCCATATGCTTTTTTATCCGAGTATCTGATAAAGCAACAAGGAAGCAGAAGAAAACATCATCCAGCTTTATTGATGAAATAACCATTCTCATACGAATGCAGCATAGCAGTTGCCAACTGAAACTTACACATCCTTGTCATTAAGTTTATCGAACCATATTCCTCCCTTGTATGTATGCTTGTGAGCTATCGATGATAGATTTATGATGCGACCCTCCATTCCTGTCTTCTTCGCTGTGCTTTTCATCTTCTCGAGTAGAAGATTCGTCAACAGAAAGTGACCTGTAGTGTAAAGTTCAATTGATTAAACCAACAGCTTCGCTAAGAACTCAAAACACTGATATAAATGCATATGATACCCAGATGATTCGTAGCAAACTGCATCTCGATTCCATCCCGGGAGAGTTGATAGGGACAGAACATCACACCGGCATTGTTTCTGGTAACCGATTTGATGCACAAAACTCTGTCTCAGTTGTGATGCAGGATATGGAAGAACAGTAACAAAAAGAAGCACATACATCAAGATGTCGAGAGGTAAATCCATGGAAAGGAATTTATCTGCGAAGGCTCGCACGGACTTCAACGAGCTCAGATCGAGCTCTAAGATGTCGACTCGGGATGCTGGAGCAGTTCGCTGGATGAGTTGCTTTGCGCCATCGGCAGCCTTCAAGTTCCTTGCAGCAATGATGACATGTGCTCCTCGAAGCGCAAAAACTCTCGCGGTCTCTGTGCCGATCCCGCTTGCACCTCCTGCATCGGGTAAAAACCCTCATTGATGATCGTTAATGGAAATATATACGAACAAGTTAAGTTATTCTCGACTTGGATTGACATTTGCATCGTCAAGAAGGCAAGCAGAGCAGTAAGAGAAGTATAGCAGAGGATGGACGGACCGGTGATGATGACGGTGAGGTTGGAGGCGTCAATGCCAGCGGTGACCTGCTCGGCCGTGGAAGCGGATCCGAACCCGCTCGGACCCGGCAGCCCCGTCACCAGCCTGAAGAATCCCATTCTTCCTGCTCCGCCGAAGGAGGGTGGCAGCGACGCCGCAAGAAGGTGATGAGACAGAGAGAAAGGTGGTGGAAGAGAAGGTGAGCGAATCGAGAGAGGCGGGTCGTTATTTATGATTGTATGGGAGCCGGGAGAGCGTTCGGGGTGGGTGAGGCGTTGTCGATCCTGTGCAGGATAACTTTCACGGGAAAGGATTAAAGGTTCATATCAACCGTTTGTTTAAATTATCAAGAGTTGACCCTCTCCGATGGGCGGTTGAGATTGGAAGAGTAGTGAGATGGATGGTTTTCGATACAGAGCAGCCTGCATAGCATCTGCGTTCGAGTTAATGCGCGAAGGTGGGGGGATGTGATTGCCTGATGGGCCCCCGGAAGACCACCAATAAGGAGCCTGCTGTGTCCCGTCTAATAACAGTGCAGGTATCGGAGTGGGTAGGTCATCTGAAATATGTTTACAACTCTTTCTTAAATATGATGAGGACGTCAAATATTTACTTCGTGGTTCAATTCTCGTTTCTGGGCACACGCGTTCGGAATGTGGGCCCCGGAGGTTGGCTCCAATGCAGAGGCAGGTGATCGCGGGGGTGCGACCGCATAAATGACCAGGGACGTATCTTCCTTGTTTGGACAAAGCCAAACCATGTGGAATTGGGTGTTGGCTACGACCCATGAGTGGAATTGTATTGCATGCTTTTCCTAGAAAATATTTATATTTTGAATTTTTTTTTATTTTTTTCTCAAAAAGTAATCTTAATTTTTAAAAATATTCAAAATATCCCTCGAAAGTTTTCTCATCAATTTTTTTAATTTATTTTTATCTATTTTTAACTATTATAGTATTTTTATTTCACTCATTTATATTATTTTCTAAATAATATTCATAGTGTTTCATTAAGGTATTAAAAATACTGTAAATATTATTGAAAAATACGATATCATATGTGTCTCTTTGATTGTTATTGCTCGTAGACGATTATTGTAATTAGTTTGGTTTAGGTTGAAAGTCTATAACATTATAATAAACGAAAAATTTTTGAAAGATAATTTAAATATTTTTTAAATTAAATATACTGTTTGAGAAAATAATAAAATAAAAATATTGATTAAGAAATACTTAAAATATAATTATTTTCTAAAGAAATTATACAATTTTATTGGCCTTTCAGCCATAACATGAGGCAAATAGGAGTGATAATGCAGCAATTCTCGTTATCTTATAGTTAGTTTTTGATAAAAAAAAAACAATGGAAAAGACAATATACTTTATTAATCAAGATTCTATTATTTATCTTTTAATTGATGGTCTAGAAAATATAAAAAAGTTAGATGCCAGAGGATAAAGTTGAATGAAAAATATCAAAAATAATATTTGATAGTAAAAATATTATCAATTAATTATTATTCGATGCATGGTTATAGACGTTATAGTCCAGTTAATGCAAAAACCTGCCTCCCTTTATCTATCCACACGGATGTAAGTCCAATCAAGATAGTTGTAAGTACCTCTATGCCTATGTCGACAAGAGATAATATATATATATATATATATATTATGAAGAATAATTTCTTCTCTTTCTGATATAAAAGATCACTTGTGTGTATATCTCCTCGATCTAACTTAATTGTCAAAGGGACGAGATCGAAAAAAACCCTTCAACCTCATCATTGTGTAGATCATATCAAAGGATATAAATTTTTCATATCAGGAATATCTCGATGATACTTAGACATTTTTACACACATGGATTTATATCACGTGAGAAAGACTTGGATATCGATGTTAGATATTCAAATAGTATATTTTGGATGTCATAATTACATTGTATCAGTGGAAACTTTGATGGTGATGGTTGAGTTTTCGCAATCGAAATCAAGGGCTAGAATTAAGGCATTTAATTGTGTTAGATAAAAGAGGACGATTGCATTAAATACAAATATTTGTGACCAATTTCACTTCAAAATTAGAGTGTTGTCGTGATCAGTAATGTTGCGCTGAACAGCACCAAATGAAAAAAAAGTCCACGAGAGACGGTTGAGGCCTTTTAAGTGCTGCCGTGGATAGTACTTGATTCGTTGGGCAGTTGGGAAGATGGTGTGGGCCCCAAAACGTTACTATGACCGCGCTGAGAGGAGCTCTCGACTTGTGGGCGGTGATGGGGTGAATCGTGCCGAATCTTGTGGGGGTTCAGTTCTGTCCGTGTCCATCGTTAACGTGGCGTCCTTTTTGCGTGCCACACCCGCATGTATTCCACCGCTCGGCCGGTTGTCCCTACCAAAAGAGCGCTCCTATGGTCTCGAGTCTCAGTCGCCTCCACGTCCCGTCCCATCTATCAGCAGTGATTGTCCATGCCATTAGTGCTCAAACAACCGTGGAGAGCTAACACGGCAAGCACAGGCCGTGAAAGCAATGGATTACTAATCCGGAGCACGATTCCTGTTCATCTCGCTGGCAGATCGTCGCTACGAAGAGGACGGTTATGGGACGGAGGAGCAAACGATACAAATATAATATTATAATATAATTAAAAAAAATTATTCCGATAAAAAAATTTATAATATTATTTAAATAAGAGATAAGACAAAAACACCTACACGATATTCCCAAGTATACACATATTCTATCTTACTTCTGTGATCGATCTACAGGTAACTATCTCACTCTATCATGTCACCAATGATTGAGTTAAATGTATGAATTATCTTATAACTTCTAAATCATGGGTCACTATTTAGAATATACTTATAATTATATAGAACATGGTAACTACTTAGATAACTATTATGAATCAATTCTCAACACTTCCCCTTAATTCATAGTTACATCGATTTACAACATAAAATAAATATGCTTTTGAACTAGAAGCGACTTGGTGAGGATATCCGTAACTTATTCATCTGTTTCACAATACTTAATTGCTATGGCTTTATTTGCTAAAAGATCCCGGATGAAATGATAGCGTATCTCTATATGCTTCGTTCTTCCATGAAATGTTGGATTCTTCATGATTACAATTGTGGCTTTGTTGTTACAAAATATTTTCGTTGCTTCTTTTTGTTTTTGATAAAAATCTTCTAGAAGTTTCTAAGTCATATTGCTTGACAAGTTGCTAATGTTACAGCTATATATTATGCTTCCGATGTCGATAATACAATTGTTGCTTACTTTTTTGAACTCCGAGATATAACTCCTGATTCGATGCTAAAAATATTACCTGAAGTACTCTTTCTATCATCTAAAACTCCTGCCCAATCACTATCAGTGAAACCAAATAATTTAAATTTAAAATTATGAGAATATCAAATACTTGTAGTTCTAGCAATATAACGTAGAATTCTTTTAACAACTCCGAGATGATATTTGCTTGGGCTATACATAAACCTGGATACTACACCAATAGAAAATATAATATCTGGTTGAGTATGAGTTAGATAAATCAAACCTCCAACCAAACTTCTATAGTATCTTGCATTTGTCAAATATGTATCATCTTCATGTTTCAATTTCTCATTTACATTCATGGGTGTTGCTACAGCTTTACAATTAATCAAGTTAGATTTTTTGAGATCCATTGCATACTTCACATACATCAAGTGTATTAATTAGAGATAATCTGAAAACTATTTTTTTTTTATTTAACAACCTCAAACCTCTAATGTTAAGGTGTTTATATCTTAAATGCAGACTCATTCTTTTAAGTTACAACAAAAACATGCTTTTCAATATTTGAAACATCAAGTGGAAATATCTTGTTTTGTGTCATGCAAATATTTAACATAATTAAATCAGATTTTTTTATCTTTAATAGTGTATGAACCATCATCAAATATAACTGAATATTCATCATTTATCAATTGTCCAACACTCAATAAGTAATGTGATAAACTATGAACAAAGAAAACGTTATCAAGGTATTTTACCTTCCCTTGACTTGTCTTCACCTCAATTATTCTTTTTTCTTCCACTTGGATTTGCTTGTTATCTAAGTCTAACTTGTAAACGAGTTTTATCAATATATCTAAACATTGATCTTATGCTTGATATATAATTAGAATATCCATTATCCAAAAATCAAATATCATTTAAGATATCTTTAAATTGTAAACGAGTCATAAACAACTTACTATTTTTTTTTCATTTTTCTTCATGCTTGTTTTTCTCTTTTCCAGCAATCTGCCTTCATATGACCAAACTTTTTACAATAGTGATATTGAATTTCACTTTTGTAGTTTTTTTTATCATAATTTGATTGCTTTTGTTTATTATGCCTATTAAAATGTCCTCTTCCTCTTCTATTTTCTCTACCACAAAATCATTCTCTACCACGTCCACTTCCACTTCCTACTGATTTTTTATCTTCTTTCGAAATAGAAGACTCTCCCTTAACTTGAAATATTTTTTTTTTCCACTTTTTTCAAGTGATCTATTCAATCTTGCTTCATGTGCTTGCAAATAACTTATTAGTTCATCAAATTAAAATGTAGATAAATCTTTTGATTCCTCAATTGCGGTAACAACATAGATAAAATTTCGGAGTTAAACTTCTCAAAACTTTTGCAATAATTATATGATCAGAAAGATGTTCACCATAAGATTTCATTTGACTAATAATTTTAGTCAAAAGAAAATCTTGCACTGATTCATTACTTTTTATAAATAAAATTTTAAACTCATAACGAAGGGTTTGAAGTTTTACCGTAATCACTCTTGATGAGCCTTTAAATTCATTTTGAAGTATCAATCAAGTTTGCTTTGAGGTTGTCGTTGCTGCAATTCTTGAGAAGATTGTTTCATGTATAGCTTGTTGAATGAAAAACAATGCCTTTAAGTCATTCTTTCTATTATCCTTCAACCTGATTTCTTCATCTAGATTTGCATATCCATTCTTTATTAAATCCCAAAGATCTTGAGACTTGAATATGTTTTCATCTTGATACTCCAAAATTCATAGCATTTGCTCAAAAAGATGGGAATAAGGAGTTGCGACATAGAATTGGCATTGAAAACCATAATATCCGGTTCAAATTGAAACTTCACTCTGATACTGCAAATGTTGGGGATGGAGGAGCAAGG